TTCTCAGAGTTCACCGGGCTTTTACTATGCTTTCTCAGCGGTGGATAGCCAGCAGTGAGCTCGTTGAGTGGCTTCACAATCTTTGAGTAATCTTTCACGAACCGACGGTAATAACCGCAGAAACCCAGGAAGGTCCTTAGCTCTTTCAGGTTGTTTGGTTTTGGCCAGGTTTTTAATGCTGCTACCTTGTCTGGATCAGTTTCAATGCCCTTTTCAGACACAATGTGCCCAAGGTATTTCACAGAGGTTTGAAAGAACTTGCACTTCCCTGGTGACAATTTCAAGCCAAACTCTTTCAATTGGTTGAGCACACGCATCAATCTTTCCTCGTGTTCCTCTAGTGTCGATGAGAAGATGATAAGGTCATCAAGGAAAACCAGGGCTTGCTTCAGGTTCAACTCCCCCATACAGCGCTCCATGAGCCTCTGGAACGTGCTAGGGGCGTTAGTTATCCCCTGCGGCATCCTGTTGAACTCGAAGAATCCCAATGGACAGACGAATGCGGTTTTGTGCTTGTCTGCTTCCTCCATCTCTATTTGATAGAAACCGGACTTGAGATCAAGCACAGAGAACCACCTGGATCCGGTCAACGCCGAGAATGACTCCTCAAGATTAGGTAAGGCATATGAATCCTTCACTGTTTGGGTGTTCAATTTCCTGTAGTCTATGCAAAGTCTGACATCTCCATTTTTTTCCTGACGACGACAATCGTCAATCAAGGAGAAAGGCGACTCTGATTCACGGATCACCTCTGCATCAAGGAGTTGCTGGAGATGGTTACGTACAGCCTCGATATCTTGGGGTGTATAGGTCTTGGTCTGTGTTTGAATGTTGTTTCGTCACTGAGGGTTATGTGGTGTTTTATTTTATCAGTGCGACCAAAGTCAAGCTCGTGCTGTGCGAACACCTCCGGCATGGAACTTAATTTCTCGGTTATCCTCTCTTTCCACTCATTGGGTATAGGAGAGTCAGTGAAGTCAAAGTTGAGACTTAATTTTTGGTCAGGTTTTGTGGGAATATCTGAGTCAGAGGTCTTAACAGATTGAACACTCTTGACAGCGTGTATCTCTGCTATTACAGCCTTCGGAGATAAGGTGATGTCATGATGTGACTCATTCTTGAGCATGACTGGTATGCAACGTGGTAGTTTCGATGGTAGACTTACCAAGCTATCCGTCGCCAGGATGCCACCTGGCAGTGAAGATGACTTTGGGGGTCCCACCATCACCCACTTTCCAACATCAGTCCTGCAGCTCACTGATCCTTCAAGGACTCTGGTCTGTCCAGCTGAAATAGTCTCAAAGTCCCTGCTACGAAGCCTAACCTCTCCCAGACTAGAATCAACAGACTGTCTTTTCCTGATTTCGAGGGTCTTTAATACAATTTTGTAGCCATAAGGAAGGGACTCGTAGTTCTGAGGTGCGATTTCTGCATACTTTTCATAGAAAACATCCAAAGTATTTGTACCTATAAGTACTGACGACAAGGTGGAGCGCATGTCAGGTACAACTAGAACCAGCGTGGGCACCTCAATGTCTGCTCCAAGCAAGCTCTTTGGGAATCTAATAGTGGTCTCAACATAACCAAGGTAAGGGACACTTTGGCCATTGGCTCCTTCCACTTCGAGCAGGTCATTCAAGGAATTCATAGGTAAGTGAGACAGGTTCTCTAAATAGAAAGAGTTGGGAATCGTTGTTACTTGAGAGCCTGAATCTAACAAGCACTTGCAGTCTTTGTTACCTATGGTCACTTGTGCAGTGCACTTAGCTCCAATCAGCCCTTTTGGCAGGGTCACTGTCTGCTTTTGTGTGTGAGAGTACACATGGGCTCTGTGTGGCTTCATTTTGGGACACTTTGTCTGTGTTCCAGTCCCCGTTTGTCCCACAACCGGAACTGGATCTAGTTTAAATTAAAGCTGCAAGCAGCGATGGGCGGGCCCTCGCACCTGTAGCGCGTCGGGGTGTGAGGCGGCCGCGTTGCATATTCTGCGGCTCAGCCGGTGCGGCTGTGAATTTGGTTCGCTGCTTCGTTAAAGGTCACTTTCTGTTGCCAGCAGGTGGCGCTATGACTTAGGGTGAATGCGGGCATGTAGATTTGTTCAGGGCGGGACTCTTGTCAAATGTGTAAAATTTCGTGCAGATCTGGGCATTTACAGCAAAGTTACTACAACTTCCTGTTGCATGGCGAATCATCGATGCCACGGACACGCCCATCGACGAAAACGCGTAGATAGCACAACTTTACATCGTCAATGCCTTTAGAAGGTACAGCAGAAATTTGAAGTTGATCCGACTAAATCCCTAGGAGGAGTTCGTTATAGTACGGAGTGTGTAAATCGTCCCAAATCGGTCGCCAAATTCAAAATGGCGGACTTCCTGTTGAGTTTAGGATATGGGTTCTTGAGGCTTTTTTTGTGCGTCTGGTCATGGTAGATGTACCACAGAAATTAAGTACATGTCGGTCAAACAAGCGACGGGGGCTGCTTCTTTAAAGGTTACTTCCTGTTGCCAGCAGGTGGCGCTATGACTGTGGGTGAATGTCGGCATGTAGATTTGTTCAGGGTGGGACTCTTGTCAAATGTGTAAAATTTCGTGCAGATCTGGGCATTTACAGCCAAGTTACTACAATTTCCTGTTTCATGGCGAATCTTCGACACCACGAACACGCCCATCGACGAAAACGCGCAGATAGCACAACTTTACATCGTCAATGCCTTTAGAAGGCACAGCAGAAATTTTAAGTCGATCCGACAAAATCCCTAGGAGGAGTTCGTTAAAGTACGGAGTCTGTAAATCGTCCAAAAATGGCCGTCAAATTCAAAATGGCGGACCTCCTGTCGAGTTTAGGGTATGGGTTCTTGAGGCTTTTTTGTGCGTCTTCAAAGGATACACGTCCCCACCAAATTTCGTGCATGTAGGTTGAACGTGGACGAGGGGCTAATTTTTTCCAATTTTCTAGGTGGCGCTAGCGAGCCATTTTGCCCCGCCCATCCGCGAAACCCACAAAATACGAAATTTTTCACCAGTCCTGACATGAGTGCCAAATTTGGTGAGTTTTTGAGCATGTTGTGGCATGTTCTTTAAAGGTTACTTCCTGTTGCCAGCAGGTGGCGCTATGACTGTGGGTGAATGTCGGCATGTAGATTTGTTCAGGGTGGGACTCTTGTCAAATGTGTAAAATTTCGTGCAGATCTGGGCATTTACAGCGAAGTTACTACAACTTCCTGTTTCATTGCGAATCATCGACGCCACGGACACGCCCATCGACGAAAACGCGCAGATAGCACAACTTTACATCGTCAGTGCCTTTAGAAGGCACAGCAGAAATATGAAGTCGATCCGACTAAATCCCTAGGAGGAGTTTGTTAAAGTACGCAATGAGTAAATCATCCAAAAATGGCAGTAAAATTCGAAATGGCCTACTTCCTGTTGAGTTTAGGGAATCACTCCAAGAGACTTTTTTGTGCGCCTGGACATGGTAGATGTACCACAGAAATTTCGTACATGTCGCTCAAACATGCGACGGGGGCTGCTTCGTTAAAGGTCAGTTCCTGTTGCCAGCAGATGGCGCTATGACTGTGGGTGAATGTCGGCATGTAGATTTGTTCAGGGCAGGACTCTTGTCAAATTCGTAAAATTTTGTGTAGATCTGGGCATTTACAGCCAAGTTACTACAACTTCCTGTTTCATGGCGAATCATCGACGCCACGGACACGCCCATCGACGAAAACACGCAGATAGCACAACTTTACATCGTCAATGCCTTTAGAAGGTACAGCAGACATTTGAAGTTGATCCGACTAAATCCCTAGGAGGAGTTCGTTAAAGTACGGAGTGTGTAAATCGTCCCAAATCAGTCGCCAAATTCAAAATGGCGGACTCCCTGTCGAGTTTAGGGTATGGGTTCTTGAGGCTTTTTTGTGCGTCTGGTCATGGTAGATGTACCACAGAAATTTCGTACATGTCGGTCAAACAAGTGGCGGGGGCTGCTTCGTTAAAGGTCACTTCCTGTTGCCAGCAGGTGGCGCTATGACTGTGGGTGAATGTCGGCATGTAGATTTGTTCAGGACGGGACTCTTGTCAAATGTGTCAAATTTCGTGCAGATCTGGGCATTTACAGCCAAATTACTACAACTTCCTGTTTCATGGCGAATCTTCGACGCCACGAACACGCCCATCGACGAAAACGCGCAGATAGCACAACTTTACATCGTCAATGCCTTTAGAAGGCACAGCAGAAATTTGAAGTCGATCCGACAAAATCCCTAGGAGGAGTTCGTTAAAGTACTGAGTGTGTAAATCGTCCCAAAATGGGCGCCAAATTCAAAATGGCCGACTTCCTGTTGAGTTTAGGGTATGGGTTCTTGAGGCTTTTTTGTGCGGCTTGATATGATACACGTCCCCACCAAATTTCGTGTTTGTAGGTTGAACGTGGACGAGGGGCTAATTTTTTCCAATTTTCTAGGTGGCGCTAGCGTGCCATTTTGCCCCGCCCATCCGCGAAACCCACAAAATACGAAATTTTTCACCAGTCCTGACATGCGTGCCAAATTTGGTGAGTTTTTGAGCATGTTGCGCCCCCTGAAAATGGCACTTACTTTGCAGAAAAAAGAAAAAAAATAATCCTAACAGTTTCAATAGGGTCCTCGCACTGTTAGTGCTCGGGCCCTAAAAATAACCCTAACAGTTTCAATAGGGTCCTCGCACTGTTAGTGCTCGGGCCCTAATAATAATACCAACAGTTTCAATAGGGTCCTCGCACTGTTAGTGCTCGGGCCCTAATAATAACCCTAACAGTTTCAAGAGGGTCCTCGCACTGTTAGTGCTCGGGCCCTAATAATCCCAACAGTTTCAATAGGGTCCTCGCACTGTTAGTGCTCAGGCCCTAAAAATAACCCTAACAGTTTCAATAGGGTCCTCGCACTGTTAGTGCTGCTCGGGCCCTAATAATAATAATCCCAACAGTTTCAATAGGGTCCTCGCACTGTTAGTGCTCGGGCCCTAATGATCGGCTTTTGAAACACCATTTTCAATGTCCCATTTTAGCTGCTTTTCTTTTAACTGCTTCCTCTTCTCAGCCACAAGGGATGGGTTCGACTCACTCTCACACTGAGGCTTAATATGTCCGTCCTCTCCACATCTAAAGCAATACCAGGGCTTTGGTCTATTGCTTGTGTTGTTGTTTGCATCACGGCTGTGGTGAAGTCTTTGAGATGGTGGAGTGATGGCTGTGTGGGGAGCTACTAGTCTGGCAGCTGATTTAGTCTTTCTACCATCCTTCTGTGTGATACGTGTGAGCTGGGACTGTAAATCAGCTATTTGTTTCCTTAGGTCTTGGATTTCGGACCTGTGATCAAGAGCTGGCTGAGATGGGTTGCAGTCTTCACTCTGCACATAAACACCTTGATAAGAAGAAGACACTCTTGGCTTCGAAATATTGAGGTGTTGTTTCATGCGGGATGCTTTGGAAGTACATTTATCTTCTGCTGTGCGGAGTAACAGGAGAAGTTCAGCAAAGGTAGGTGGCTTCTGTTTCTTTTGTTCCAGCTGAAGTTCAGCTATCAAAGTGTTGTCCCAGCAGCCTCTGACAAACTGTCTAAGCAGATGCCGGTCAAGGTCACTTGCGTTTACGCCTCCCCTCCTGAGGGTGGTGTTCAGCATCACCTGCAGCCATTGTAGATAAGCCGAGGATTTCTCACCGTTATCCTGCATTGTGTTAAGATACTTTGCGAAAAGATCATCTCCGTCCTCGACAGTGCCGAACGCAGAGTCCAAGATCTCCAAGTACACATTAGGGGAGATTCAGGTGTTAGGTGCTTCACAATATCGATAGCAGGCGATAAGAGACTTTCAAGAAGCTTTCGGGACTTGTAAAGATCAGACTGTGTTGTGTCTTTAAGAAGAAGTTCCACATTGGAACGCCATGTCTCATAATCCACTTCATTGTTGGATCTGGGGGAACGCCCAGAGAAGGGTCTGAGTCTCAAAGAAGTATGCACCTGCAGAGCAGAGTCTTCATTTCTCACTATGTGCTCGACTATTACTTTTTGAATGTCAGGTGGGTTGACGTCAGAAAGTTTCAGAGCAGGCTGTGTCTTTCCTTTAAATGGTGGTGTAAACCAATGATGTTGAACACGTTGCTCCGGGGGCCGTGCTGGGCAAGGGGCTTACATGTGCGGCATTTTCAGAGTCATGTTGCTCTGGGATATCACGTGAGTTCTCTTCCACATCCTCATCTTGGGTTTCTGATTGATCGAGATCGACATTCTCACTGATGACGGAGAGCTCATCCCTGAGGACAGCTGCAAAGTCTTTGCCAGTCAGTTTTGCAATGTCCTTTAACTCTGAAAGGTAAGTCTATGTAGCTGTTTTACTAGCTACAGGTATGTAGACACTGGCTAATGTTCTAATGAGATAAGTGACATCAGTCTGAGTCTTACTGTTGAATCTGTATGGCAATGAAGGTAAGAGAGACTGTATAGCTGTGCCACACACATACTCTACCACGACCTGTTTGTCTACAGCTGGCTCAGCGGAATCTACTGGGATTACCCTTTGAATGGAACCATATTGTTTCAGGAAGTCAAACGGTTCTTCGTCAGTTTCAGTACCGGCTATACCACTAACTATGACTGAGTTAGGTATTTTCACACGACTCGTTTGAATAACGTCCATAATGAATCACTGATAACAATACTATACGGTCTCTGGTTTCTAGTTTTAAATGCTTTAAACCACTCCTGGCTGGCTCGCCAAAGTTGTAGCACCGGTATCACACCACTTATCGCGCTACTGGACCAGTTCTAGGCTCTAAGGAGTGGGGAGCAAAAATAATAAACAGACCAGAGACCGTTTCTTTAAATACAAAAGCCGGCAGTTTACTGAATGTAGAACAAAAGAATAATGCACAGTTCAATAACATAATAAAACAAAAGAAATAAAAATATTCCCTGCAGGTTCCAAAATATCCCGTATTACTGAGGTAGGTAAAATGAAATTATATTTCACTCTAAGTTCAGTTTTTGGTTCACTTAAATCACTTTAGTCGAGTTAACTCTCTATTTTTGTCTTTTACAGGTAGGAAAATACCTTCAAATCACAAAATCAAATCAGAGTGGATCACATTTCAAATCACATTCAACATTTGAACTCAATATGAAAAGGAAATAGAAAATAAACACTTTAAATTCAAATCTCAATGTGAGTTCAATTGTTCAGTTCGGTCAAAAGATTCAGTTCGATTGTCCAGTTCAGTCAAAAGACTCAGTTCAATTGTCCAGTTCAGTTCAAAAGACTCAGTTCAAAACAATTCCTGACACTCCTACCACTCTGGCAGCAAGTCACCATACGCGTGAGATTTCCTCAAAGACGCCATGGAATTGATGAGTTGAAAATCCGGGTCTGGCTCGCCATCTTGAATCCTGTCCGCGCACGTGCGCGCCCGCACACTGCAGACCGATCGTTGCTCCGACCGAGCTTCAAACCAAGCAAAAAAACCTGACCTGTATAACAGGTCATAAACACAATAAATCTCTTTTTAAATCCTCAAACAACACAAATACAGATAATATTTCACATTCTCTGAGTCATAACGTCACTGTTGCGATTCACTTTTCACTTCAGAAAATGGCGACGGTGCAGTCTCTTTTAACTCACAACTACTGCACGCATCCTTCATTTGCAAAACATTAATTCTCTTTTTATAACATTCACAGTTCCCATAAACAAATTATTAACTGGTATACAGTTTAAAAGAACTACGTTTCAGTATTTCACCACAAAAGAGAGGAAAAAAAATGCAAGATCACAAAATTGCAAGAAAATAAAGTACAAACTCACCAAAACCGGTGTGGATCAGTTCACATAAAATCCCTGTCAGTTCCCGACCAGGCAAATTATGATTTCTTTCAACTGCAAAACTTTTAACTCTTTTCTCTGCTTATTAAACACAGTTTGTTCTCCTCGTTCTCTCCTCCGATCTTTTTTTTTATTTATTTATTTTTTTTTTTTATTGCAAATTAAAGAAAAAATACAATAACAGCAAACAGAGGAGAAAAAAAAATACAAAAACAATAATAGAGGGGTTACAGACATCAAAATAGATTGCATTAAGTTATACAAAATAACATATTACAATTTGTAAAAATAACCCAATTAAAGGTTCTTTACCACAGACTCCAAAATATTATGTGTTCTAGAAACCTTAGAGTTTAATGGTTTTGACAAATTTTTAAATGAAGAAAAAAGGGACTTTAAATCAGATGAGAACATTCTAAAATCCGGCTTACAATGAATGGTTCTGGCTTTGTGAAGATGAAACTTACCCAGAAGACACAGCAGAAATACAGTATAATTAAAATAAATATCATTAGAACAGAAATCTGATAAAAAAATTATAGAATCAGAAATTTGTACCAATTTCTTGCAACAGTAAAAAACTAACAAGGTAACATCTGACCAGAAAGATTTAGAAAATGGGCATTGATAAAATAAATGAAGAATAGATTCTTCTTCAATATTGCAAAAGGAGCATAAAGAAGATACATTCTCAGAAAACTTGCTCAAGAATAGATTACAAGGGTAATATCTATGAATAATTTTGAAATGGAGTTCTTTTATTTTATTAGGAATAAAAAGTTTATGAGAAAAGGCCCATAAGTAATTCAAATTAGAGTTGGGATAACAGATACTCCATTTAGAACGAGCTTTAGGAATAGTTTTTGAAGATGAAGAAAGAGCATTCCTAATAAAGAAGTTGTTGCATTTTTTATCTAATATATTAACACCATTAAAAGCAAGTGTTGGAATAAAGTTGTTTACACGGTTGTAACTTAAATGCGCTTTAAACAAGGTTCTTACACTTACAGGAATGCTCTTAGTCACCTTATTAAAATCTCTTACAGAAATCGTAACACTTTTTAGGGACATAAAATCATAAATGGAAAGAAGGTCTCCTTGAGCACTAAACAAATCGGAAACAAAAATAATATTTTGATCCACCCATTCTTTGAAAAAAAGAGACTTGTTACCACACAGTACATTTTCATTATTCCAAATAATACACGTGTGCGGGGAGAAGTTATGTTTGAAAGCAATCTTCCAGGATTCAAGAGCTTGTTTATGAAAATTTGAGAGTTTAATAGGTAATTTGCTACACTTAAAATTACAAGATAATAAGAATTTAAGGTCACCACATTTTTTAAAGATTAAATTAGGGATCCAAAACCAGGGTAAATCATTGTTAGAAATACAATACTTAATCCAGTTAATTTTGAATGTCTGGTTAATAGTTTGAAAATCTAAAGCGTTAAGACCACCCTCCTTGTAACTTCTTATCAAAGATTTTCTTTGAATGCATTCTGTTTTATTTTTCCAAATGAAACGGAATAGCAGAGAATCAATAGATTTAATCGTTTTTTTATCAACATATAGGGAAAGAGCAGGGTAAACTAGGCGAGATATGCCCTCAGCCTTAGACAGCAGGACTCTCCCATAAATTGTCAAGTCTCTCTGCAGCCAGCAACATAGTATTTTTTTGGTTTTATCTATCCTTGGTTGAAAATTGATGTGAAGACGTTCTGAACCTGATTTGCAAATATCGACCCCGAGGTATTTTACCTGCTGTTTAACTTTAATACCATCAACAGAAACTTTATCTGAATCATGCACATACAAAATTTCACTTTTCGTAGGATTTACCACCAATCCAGAAGCTTTGGAGAAAAGATTAAAAATGCTTAGGGCGCCAGAGACTTGTGAATCATTTTTAAGAAAGAGACAAGTATCATCAGCTAACTGACTAATTATTAAAGTGTTCTCTCCAATATTTATACCCTCAATATTTGAGTGTTTTATATACAAACTTAGAAGCTCAGCAGCCAATAGAAATAGAAAAGGAGATATGGGGCATCCCTGGCGAATACCTCGACCCACTGAAAATCGGGGAGAAGTGCCGGAAGCTAAGGAGACACAACTGTTAATACCATTATAAAGAGTACGAATCATATTAATAAAAGAACTACCAAAACCAAACTTAGAAAGGGCTTCAAAAATAAAAGAGTGCTCAACTGTATCGAAAGCTTTATAGAAGTCGATAAACAAAATTAAAGCCTCTTTGTTTATAAAATCAGAATAATCAAGAATATCTAAAATTAATCTAATATTATTAGAGATATGTCTACCTTTTAGAAAACCAGATTGAGAGTCAGAAATTATGTCTCCCAAACAAGGCTTAAGCTTTTCAGCATATACAGAAGCCAATAACTTATAATCAGAGTTCAAAAGGGTGATCGGGCGCCAATTATCTAAAAATTTGTTATCCTTATTAGGTTTGGGTATAAGAGAGATGAGACCTTGTTTCATAGATTCTGCCAATTCACCTTTCATTGAACACTCAATAAGGGCATCGTAAAGAAGATTTTTTATAGAGTCCCAAAAGACTTTAAAAAATTCAAAGGGTAAGCCATCTGGCCCCGGGGATTTATTATTAGGCATTCTTTTGACTATATTATAAAGATCATCTATATTAAAAGGATCCTCACATTTTTTTCTGTTTTGGTCATTAATTTTAGGAATAACAGATTGAATCTTTTGAAAAAACAAAGATGAAGCGTTGGGGTCAAAAGTGGAGGTATACAAATTTTGATAAAATTTAGAAACATGGGAAGAAATCACAGAGGAATCATTAGATAACGTATTATTAATATACAGAGAAGAGATTTTTTTATTACTGACGCGTTTCTTCTCAAGGTTGAAGAAGTAGGCAGAATTTTTTTCTCCAAACTCAAGCCATTTTGACCTCGATCTAATAAAAGCACCCTTTGCTTTTTCTAGAAAGAGATCATCCAGACAGGCTTGTGAAGTATAAAGAGATTCCTTATCCTCCTCACTAAGGTTAGGGTTCTGTAAAATTTCATTTATTTTTTTAATTAAGTTTGCAATTTCCTTATTTTTAACAGACATTCTATTTTTTCCAAATTTAACCGAAAATCTCCTACATTGATATTTAAATAGCTCCCATTTCGAAATAGCCGAGGTATTAGCCTGAGATTTAACACTCTCTGCGATTTTCTCAATCTCTTGACAATATGATTCAGAGAGTAAAAAGGAGCAATTTAACTTCCAGTACCCAGGGTTCATTTTTCTTCTTCGCTTGGATTTATCATCCGATAACGTTATGTCAATCACTGCATGATCAGTTAAAGGTGAGGGTGAAATTTCTGCTGATACCAAAAAAGAAATTAAAGAGTCTGACATCAGTCACAGG